TGATATGACCAATCTCACTATTCTCAACTTCTACATATGATAATTTTCTTTTCCATATATAAATAGTTAATATTTTAAATATAAACTAATCCATTTCTTGTATTTATAATAGGTGCTTGTATGACAAATTTGTTGTCCCTTTTGATCTACAAATGAAGTTCATCTTCGTTAGTGCTCATGAAGTGGGTGCACATGTCTTAATTAAAAGCGACAAAATTTTAGAACAAGCAAAGGCATTAAGCGAAATTTTCAAAGTAAGGACTCGAAAGGGAACATTATTCATAATACCATAGTGTCAAGGGTAATGAAATTCTCACTTATCACAATAATTTTTTTATTTTTGATTTAATGGATTAATTTTAATTTTGCAACACTTGTTAATACTATTAGGGACCATTAGATGTTGGTCACTGCTGAATCATTCGGCAACACTCTAAAGATATATTATCTCGATTTTCTTGGAGGGGAATCAGGAAGGAGACAAATTTTATTGGAGTTAATTAATATGTAAGTGCATAAAGTATTTTACATATTTATTTAATTATTTCAATTTCATACTAATATATTTTTCACTATTTCATTAGGGTGATTGTGTTATACCGCACTAACACAAAACAATTAATTCCAAGGTCCTTTACAAATTTTAATGTGACCTACACTTGAAATATAATTAAGGTAATTGGAATCATTTATTAAATTGAAATTTAATGCATTACTACATATTCATTGATTCTTTAATTTTTAGGGTCCAAGACATAAAAAAATAGCTTGGATTGTGGCTATTGCATCATGAGGTTCATGAAGGACATCATTATCCATAACAAGAGCATAATTCCCAAGATGGTATGTCAAAAATATTAACTTTTAAATTACAAAAATATTTAATGTATTAAAATTATATTAATATATGGTGGATCATTTATATATTGCAGTACTATGATGATTCTTATGTTGAAGAATTTGGGGATGCAGAAATAAATGACGTAATTGAAGAATGATGTAAATACATTTTCTAAGTGTTGATCTCATACAAAGAAGATCAATAAAACTACCTTGAAGAAGTAGCTAAGAATTTTTTTTTTAATACGTAGTTTATTTTTGGAAATAGTTTACTTTATGTAATTACATTTGTTTATTGATTAATTTTGAAATTGAATACAATAAATTTCATTGATATTCAAATCTGAAATAATTGGCTGCTGCTATTTTGATTTCTTTTTGTAAGGGGGCTGGTGTAAAAATAGCTCACGTATTAAAAAAATCACATAAAAAATGACGGTTATATAAATAATCGTCATTTATACTGCCTTTAAATGACGGGTATCTTATTTACCCGTCATTTAAAGTATGGTGCAAATTTTTACCATACTTTAAATGACGGGTAAATAAGATATCATCATTTAAAGGCAGTATAAATGACGGGTAAATTACTTATTTATTCGACTGACATTTAAATGACGGTTAATACACGTCATTTATTTGGCTGACATTTAAAGACTACCAATAAATTATGAACTAAAATAATATACAAAAGAAATTTACTCATTTTTTCAGTAATTAACTTTTTATAATATTCTGAGATAATAATTAACAATTAGTTGAGCAGAGTAATGACCAATAAAATAATAAATAAAAAATTTCTTAGGTTATATATAATGTTTAATCAATTACCAAACAATAATGGAAATTAAAATTGTCTTTGATTTCTTTAGAGGTTAAATAATTTATACACAAAAGTAATTTGATCAAGATATAATTGAAAGCCAACACGTTTTTCCTCAAAATTTTATGTTATACCCACAAATCATCAAGCCCCTTTCCCCATCATCTATCTTGGTCGTTCTTCAATTCTTCCAAGAAAGGGGAGGGGGAGAATTTGACAGCATTTTCTTGTATGATTAAAAAATGATATGATAATGTTTGATCCATGGATCCTACTAATAGCACTTGTTTAAAGTCTCAACTTAATTCCTTGAAGGTCTAACACTTTAGGTTGCATATGACGCGTATTCCTATTATAAAAGGCAGTAGTGTCAACAAAGATTGGTTCATTTGACAAGGATTTGGCTTATAAATTTAAGGGATCAAATTCCACTGCCAAAGTGAGGATCTTGTTGCCAAGTAATTTGTATGCACCTTTGTAAGTGCCTTTTGAGCCTAAAGGTATACCTGACCCTAGTGAACCTCGAGTCTCAACTCATCTAAACTTTCATTCATAAAAAAAATAATACAGGGTGAGAATAAAGTTTTGAAATTAAAAAAATGCAAAAAAAACAAAAAGTTGAAAAGAGACCCAAGAAAAGCAACAACGTGGCCCTACAGATTAAGAAAGTTTTGATCCCCAATTAATTAATTAAAGATGTTAAATCAAGAAGCAACTAATAATGCATAGGAGTTAGGATGCTTTGCGGAAGGCTCATAATGCAATTCAATTATTGTTCTCGTCCCCCCCCCCCCCAAAGAAAAGAAAAATTCATCAACCCACCAAATTAAGTTACAGTATATGAACAATGAACCAAAAAAAAGTAAGTTTAGGGATTAGGGTTTTGAAAACGAAATCCAAACAGGCACAATCCCTTTAACAAATTCTTAAGTGCTCCAATAATGCTAGCTAAGTAACAAGATTCAGAAGGACATTAATTTGTATCCCGCCTTCTCTACTTTTTAAAAAGCAATATTAAAAATTAATTGGCTGGATCATATGTTTGAAAATTCTATGAGTTAAAGGACATTTGTGTGCTTTAAACTATTTCTAATGACTTTTTTATTCATCTCATGATTAAAGTTAACTTTTGTTGTTAGTAGAGGCAACAATACTTTATTTTCAAAGTACTTACATGAGAATTTTGTTAGTGAGCCATCTAATGTAAGCGCTCTTAGATAAACCCCTGGAACCAATTATGAATTAATTTTGAATAAACAAAAGATTAGATAACGTCATAATGGTCATCTTTTTTTGTCTCTGCGGACACATGATGTCAAGGTCTAAGTCAATCCATATGCATCGAGAAAATGATACGTCAATAAAAGTACTGGAATGAAAATAATTTTTATATATTTACATCTTTTTAATTTTGAAAATTAAGGTTGCGCAAACAAAACGGCAAAATCATAGAAGTCTAGGCTTTTTTAGTCGGTGTCCGCATTTTTTCTTGAGTCAAACCTACTTAAGTACTCATATCTTGGAGAAAATGACACAATAATGAGGTTTTGTTTTTGGTCCTACAGTAGATCCTATGTTGGAAATTGAATAGTCCGTGTACATGAATTTTGTTGAGTAAAAATATTTAAAATATGATTTTATAAATGGAGTATAGTAAGTTATGTAAAACATAACCATCATTAAAATAATAATAATAATAATAATAAATTTTCCAATTCCCATGCATATGTGAATGTATTTAAGAGTGCAAACACTTTGGTTCTATTCTTATCGTCTCAGCTATCCTGAGATAAAATATATATTTTTTATCTATGCGTGTGCAGAGAAAATGGCACAATAATAGAATCAGATGAATAAAAATGATATATATATATATATATATATATAAGTCATTTCACTTTGAAATTTAAACATTAAGTTCGCGTAAAGAAAACGACATATAATAATAAATCTTTCTATTCTCAACCCATTATTGAAGCCAACATGGAAAAGAAGTCATTAATGATGACAAACTATCTTTTTAGCCGGTATCCACATTTTTCTTTGGTTAAGCCTACTCTAGTACCATATCTTGGAAAAAAAGTGACACAATAATATACTTTAATAAATTTCGCGTATGTTTGGATTTGTGCGTATTGTATGGAAAAAAATTAAATCTTTAATAATCTCTATACTTTTAGCGAGATTTAAATGAGATCCTTGTTTATAGTTCAAACTATTAGAATGACAACCTAAAGTTTGTACTGTCATATCATTAATCCCTACCCAATCACTGTATAAAAAACTATGAAAATAACTAAATTAGTTTGTTTTCGTTAGTGATATGCAGATTAACATATAGTTTTTGACATTAATAATTTATTTTTCTGTGACAAATAAAAAATTGAGACCCAAAATTTAGACCTTGTTTGATTTTGTTCCCTTTTTTGTTTTTAAAAACTATCTTGTAAATTAAATTTAAAAAATTATTTTTGAAACCAAAAATTATGTAAATTATAAAATAATTTGGGTTAAAAAATCGGAAGATAATGGTGGTCACCAATGGGTAATGATAGTAGTTAACTACAACTGATAGTAGCATCCAGTAATCAATTATGATGTGCTGTAAACATAAAAAAGAAAACAAAAACAATTCGAAGATCTTTTATTAAATAAAAAAACAAAAGATGAGAATAGTTTTGCAAACATTTAAATCTAAAACACTTATCCAAACCAATTGTTTTTATATTTTTATTTGAAAAACAGTTTTTAAAGATAGAAATCAAACAAGCCATTAATTTTTTTTATAAATTTATTTGAAGCAGGGAGGGAACAAATCGAAGTGCTCAAGAGTTAAGTCAAAAGGAAAAAGTAGTTGACGCAATCCAAATGGTTCACATATTTTTTTTCTTCTTAAATTTTCCAATTATTTTAACAATTTCGTCTTCTTATATATCTATATATATTATATAAGATATTAAAATAACATTTTCCTTCGATTAATATCTCCCTATCAAATTCATTTTTTATTTCCAATATCAAATGGACATAATCTCCAACAAATTGAAGAATATGCTAATAATGTCTCTTCATTTTCTAACTTCTTTGCAGGCCCCACCACCTTAGATTAATTATAACTAATGGCCACTGATTGACACAAAAGTAGACGAGGGATATTAATTGAGCCGAGAAATTTCTACCATTAACATCATAATCAACAGTTTTAGTTTAAATGCATATAATTAATCATCCGTCCTATTTAAAAGTTGTGCTTATGAATTCCTAAGCGTGTATATATATAGTACAACCTTCTCCTCCGACCACTTCATCAATCTAAGAAGCCCTCAGCCTATCCACCATGGCAAATCTTTGTTTTCATTTCCCCTTTCTCTTGTTTTCCCTACTTTGTTTTCATTTCACTTTATGCTTCACCAATTTCACTACGTATGATGAATTGGCACTACTTGCTTTGAAGTTTTCTGTTAAGGACCCTTACAATTACTTGGCTAATTGGTCCAACTCTTCTTCCATTTGCAATTGGGTTGGGGTTATGTGTGATGCTCACCATGAGAGAGTAATAGTCTTGAATCTTGGTGAGATGGGTCTCAAGGGAACTTTGCCCTCAAAAATTGGGAATCTGTCTTTCTTGGTTGAACTTGACCTTCATAGTAACAACCTTTATGGTGAGTTGCCAAAAGAGTTGATCCAATTACACAAGCTACAAATTCTCAACTTGAGCTACAATGAATTCAAGGGAGAAATTCCAACTTGGATTGGAAGCTTATTCATGCTTCAACACTTCCATCTCCGTAACAACAGTTTTGGAGGTGTTTTTCCTAAAAGCATATCCAATTTGTCAAAGTTAGAGACTTTGAACTGGAATGATAACTTTATTGAAGGATTCATTCCATTTGAGATTGGAAAACTTCAATGTTTGAAGATTTTACGGATTGCAGTAAACAAGCTTTTAGGAAAAATACCTCCAACTATCTCCAACTTACCTCACTTGAGTTGTTGTCTTTGTCTCGCAACTTCTTAACAGGTATGTCTTGCGTAATGTGTTATTAGCATTTCTTCTATTTTACAATGATATAAATTTATTTTTCTATTTGGAAATCCTTTTGCTTAATTTTAATTGGATTTATGTGAGCCTTATTATCAAGCTCAGTTGATCTTCTTTAATTTGTTGTAAAATGTTTACTTATATTTGTTGGAATAAATTCATCAACAAACTTTTGTTAATTATCATTTTACATAACCCTCCTAGCTTCACGAGTATTCAAATTATCAAAGTTAGCACATTTTTTGCATTTCATGGAATCAGCTTTGGATCAGTATATACTTCCTACATATTAAAATTAACTTCACCTAAGCAAAATAATACGTTTGATAGTTATTTTACCATGAACTTTTATGATATATTGGTGATAATAAAATATTCTTATTTCAGAAAGATAAATTGATCAAATGTTCTTTGAAATCCTCTTTTGGTTAGATAGACAATTTTATATTGTTAAGTTATATATTTTCAGAATTCTTTTTGCAGTTACGTTATAAATTATTACTTATATAATACAACCTACTTTTTATAACATTACAAATTTGTGTCAGAAATTTGCATGTGCTTGTTGTAGGGCATGTCTTAAGCATTCTTTTGTTTGTTTCCAAATCCCATTTTACGAAGAAAATCATGAGAAATTACTATCGAGAATGATGAATCTGATTGTGAAAAAGTTGTTAAAAATTTTAGATCATCATGATGGAGGAAAAATCTTCAAATGATTTCTGTGACTTTTTCCCTGTGCTATAAGCTGCATCGGTATTTATATTGTGTACTCAATAGGTATGATATAAATTTGTGTATTCGTGTAAAAAAAAAAAAAAAGATCTGAAACAACTCAAATTGTCAATTCGACCGTCAATATCTCATTATTTTTAATGTTATAAAAATCATTGATTTTGTCTCTTTTTTATTAATAGAATGTCTATTTTTTTAGAACTAATTTGAGCTTCCATAGTCTGATTTCTTCTGTACAGCATGTACCCATAATATATTTTAAGGTTCCTATGCTCTTAAAAATTATTATATTGGGCACCAGTTGTTTAAATATATGCATATAACTAACTATTCAATTCTATCTAATTTCTGACCAAGCGCTTTTTTTTATTTTTTATTTTATTTTTATGTCATGTGGGAGGTGCCGCTTGAGTTATGTTGGGTGTGTCCCTTAGGCGCACTATTCTTTCTTTTATTTATTTATTTACTAAGCATGATTTTTTTTAGTATGGGAATGAAGTTATATTTTTTTCATAACATTAAATTATAAAATAACATTAATCTTTTCATTTGTTTTTATGCTCTTCTAACATTTCAATAAATAATTATAGTTTAGACCTTGAATAACACGCATTTGATACTTTACTAATAAAATAAGACATTAACTATTATAAGTTCCTCTGTACATGTAATTAGTTTAGTCAGATTAAAATAAATTTACGCAAAAGGCCTAAAGATACTGGTCCACAACAAAAATAATAAGGCATCTTCAGGAACAACTAATGTTGTATTCCAAGAGATATTTGAGAATATTGAAATAGATTATGGTTATTTTTTGTTTCATACCTTATACAAAATTAATTATGATTATCCCATTCTCATTTATCATTTATTCAATTGGTTGCAAATAAATGCAATCCAACTAAATACTGCACTAAGTGAAAAAACAAATAATAACACATGAACGTTATTAATTTCAAATGCATAGTATGTAACAACAACAATGCTCTATAGTATAGTTTATCATACAAGAAAGTAACTTTGAAGACATGCATAAACTAATGATGTACGAGCAGGACACAAGTTCAAATAATGAACTAATATTGTTTCACTATTTCTCTCAATTTGGGTGCTGAAAGTGTTTTGACTAATTTTATTCGTCTCAATAATTAATCTACTATAGCCTCATTTAATCATAGTATATATGATGAAAAATATCTTCCTTTCTTAAGATATTTGGCCCTATTATATTGCAAACGACTTGGGACAAAACTCTTCGAATATGAGGATTCGATTGGTCACACTAAACACAGTTCAAACTAATGGATACATATCAAGATACATCAATTTCCTATTTCCTTCTTTTTCCTATTGGGTTCAAGAGCTGTCTTCTTTATTGCTTATTTTATTTTATTATGATATTTTTACTATACATGGACTCTAACAAAAAAAAAATCAGTCTATTTTAGCAGACATTGCAGGATTAATTTATTGCAAAAGACAACAGTCAAATTTGAAACTAATAAAAGTATCATTTTTCTATCAAAAAATGTTTACTACCATTTAAGATCAACTATTTTTTGAATTTTCAAAGTTGGTCTCTTTATGCTCATACTTTACGGTCTAATAGCATATCTTACAATTTTTTCAATGACCACATCCTAGTAGATATTCTCAATATAATTAGTAATTTGGCAAATCTGAACATAATATTAAGTGATAATCGGCTTTGCAATTGCACACCAAAAGCGATTGAAAATTTGATTATGCCTCAAGGGTTTGAACTTCAAGGCAATGACTAATTATTAATTTTGTTGATAACACTAAACATTATTATTTGATTGTATGATAAAATTAGGATAATTAAATCTATTTATTTACGATAGATAAATTAATCAAATTTATTTCGTGTTGTATTTCTTTGAGCTTTGTTATACCTTATTATGTCACGAGCTGCTATATAAATGATAAATATTTCACATCATGACATTAAAAAGCTTATTCTAAATATGCATGTGAGAGAGAGTTTTTATTTTTATATAAAGTAAGAAATTTATTTCATTTTGAAAGCTTCTTATTTTTTTAGGAATTATAGAAGTTGTTATTAGTTAATTTTTTTATTATTTACCTTTTTCTCAAAACTTAATTGTTTTTAAAAAGACCTCAAAGCAATTTTAATGAAAAAATTAATTAGTTGACCCATATAGTTCCATCCAGTTTGTGACTTATTTTTTTATAATTTAAATCGTCTTGACTCAGTTCTTATACTTTCTTTTGTCTTCTCCATTCATCCCTTCTTTTCAAAAAGTAACTAAGTCCTCAGTAACTCATCCTATGTGGCACCTATGGTTTGCATTCTTTATAAAAGACTTAATCCGATCAATAGCAAGAGTGCTGTGGGACTGATGATTTTTCTCCCTTCTTTCATTCCTTGGGCCAACAATTTGTTGTGCTAAAGGAAATCCCCCTACTCTCACCGAAGGAAGAGGTAGTTAACAGTGTTGCATTGCTTAGTTGACAGTCTTATTATTAGTGCCACATTAGATAAAATAAAATGAGAATGATATTCTATTAAAAAATGTAAACTAAATAAATATTGCTAGCCAAAGACAAAATACGAAAGGCAAATTAGACACCGGAACCTATTTGTTTCCTATAATTATTTTGGTCATTTTCTGTAATTATCTACGACTTTTTTTAATAATTTTTAGGTCATTTTGTATAATGTTTTTAGTCAATTAATGATTAAATTAACAAATATTTAATGGGGTGATGACATTGCTTCACTTTTAAAGTATGGAGGCAACGTTGAGCCCCCTTGATTTGAGGGTGTCCAATGAGTACCTAAAGTAATTGAGGGCAAATTAGCACTTTAACTCTTCAAAAAACACAGCACATTGATTAGCACTAAAAACTTGTCAACAACAACTTCTCTCTGTCTCTCTCTTTGCTTCCTTTGTTTGGGATGTTAGATTTTTTTTTTTTTTAATGAAGGGATGCCAGTTTAAATAATGAACAATATATAATATATGGCTTTGCATATAATTAATTTTGTGCACATACAATATATATTTTCAAATAGCATATTATTGTACATTTTTATTAAACTACATCACTCCTCTTGATGTCTAGGCCAAAGTCAACCAGTCAAATTGAAAACTAGCTCTTAGTTTTTATTAAAGCGATAAAACTCCATACCCCAGACACAAATAAAGTCACCAAAAGTAGTCAAAGACTAGTAAATCAGTAAACAACCAGTAAAATTAGTAAAATTAGTAAAAACCTGACCAGTTCCCATAAAGAAACAGATAAAAATAAAAAATGCATGTTAACTTCTTTTTTAAAAAAAAAAAAAGAAGAAGAGGCGCAACTGTAAATTTTTTGAAACTTGGGGGCAATGAGCTGCGGTTTTCTTAAAACCTTCTCAACCCCACATGTGAACCCAGCTTCTCGATTGACTCACCACCCAATACTTTCAGACGATCAATGTAGGACTTTCACCAATCACTTTTTCTATTATTATCCCTGTCCAGAGGCATCAGAGATTCACTTTTTTTTTTTTTCCTCTTCGATCTTCACTAATTTTTTGGCTACACTCATAATATCTATTAAGTCAAGGTAATATCAAGCGTTTATTTATATTTTTCCTCGGGTTTAATCTTTTAAGTTTAGTTTTTATATAATTTGTAAAACTACTTCATGCATTGTCATTTTTTATATATATAATAAGTATGGACTCATAAATATTACACATATTTGTACTAACTGTGGTATATTATAAGATTATGTGCTAAACTAAATAGAGGGGAACTTATTACTCATTATTTTCTTTTTAATTTATTTATTTTTATCCTTTTATAAATTCACAGTTTTTCATTTTAATAGCAACCAGTCTAACCATGATTCAATCAATAAACTGTGAATGTGCCTCAATCAATTTAATGATTGGTCTAGCTTTTAAACTTTGCTCTCTTATAACATGGTATAATGAAATATATACAACAATAATAATAACCTACAAGTCTTATATCACTAGGAGGGGTTGCGATTCAACAACTTAACAATATTATTTTTAAAGGAAAAATTAATAAAATATCCTTCAAATATTTTAACAGTTATAGTCTTTTAGATGTCATAATTTTACTGAACAATTGTTTAATTAAGGACATTGAATATAGTTAAAAAATTCAGGGTAAGTGAAAATTTTAAATGAAAGTTTATCTTTTTCTTTATTTCTTCAACATTTATCTATCTAGATATATATACACTACATATTGTGTAAAAGGTCAATGCAATGTGTTTGTCTTGTAATTCGTGTTATGATTTGTTAAGATATTTAATGGTATTGAACAGTGTGGTTTCGTTGTTTTGATGTCTAATATTTAATTTTTTTTCCCAGTGCACGTTATGGGATGGATTTATATGTAGTTATTGTAAATTTGATTAGGCATATGTCTAAAATTAAAGACAAAGGTTCCATTTTGATTTTATGTATTCCTCAATAATCTCATAAAGTTATATTGTATCATTTTAATACATTGTCTGAAACTTTAAAATTGCAAAATCATCTCATATAATTGGATTTAATGTTTTTTATTACATAACAAGATGCAGTGGAAACTTGATTTTGCTTAAATAAAAACAATTAGATCTTGGTCACATTAACTATTTCAGGAAAAATACTTCCAGCTATTTCTAGCTTATTCTCACTTGAATTGATATCATACAACTCCTTAATAGGTGTGTCTTTAATAATATCAAATAAATTCATATATTTGCTTTAAATCATTTCAAAAACTTTAACACGTGTTTAGAATGCCTTAGAATAAGCTATTTACAATATCATATTCAACGTTGATTTTGTTGGAGAGGGGAATGAGATATATATATATATATATATATTACGTTAGTAGGGTGCAATAAATGAATCTACAAATTATATATAATTTTAATTTGTTGTGATATTGGTAACTCCGTCATTGTGCTTTCAACACAACATAGTGCATTATCATCATTTAGCATTCTCTACACTGCTAGGAACAAATATTTTGCATGCTTTTTGTTAGTTTTTGTCATTTTCATTTGGGTTCTTGGAGCCATAATGCAAGAGATACTTTTTTAATGGTTTTTAAATTTACATGATTTTTTATACAACATATGTTGTCCATGATCATCTCCATAAAGTTATATTGTATTTCTATGATTTTCTATAATATATATACAAGCACTCATTACTGTTTTTATTTGTTATTGCAATAATGCAGGAGATATTCCGAATGAGATTGCCAATCTTACAAATCTTAAAATTATGTACTTGGGTCGAAATCAACTCATTGGCTACATACCTAGAAGCATTGGAAGTTTGGTTTCGCTTCAGGAATTACAGCTTGGTTCCAATAATTTACAAGGTATAATTTTTATGCAAATTATAATTCACTATAGATTATTTCTTTTTTCTTACTTCTTGTCTCATGCAACTTGAAATTATGAACTTAGATGCTAATAGGTTTCGTCGAAATGCTATTAATTGTATATCCCAAAATGTATAAGTCAAGAATAAACTTTGTTTTTCTCACAAAACAAAAATTGGATTATATTTTTTACATAATTTGTAATGTTTTATAATGTCATTGAGAACTCAACCTGTTACAAAGATTTTAAATATAACAGGGGATAATTTCAGTTAGGTCCCTTGTAAGAAAACTTTCATTAAATTTCAAAGGACTTTTTTTTTTTCCCAACTGCTGATATATTCCTAAGGCAAATAAACTAGTACAGCACAACTGAAATCGCAAACAGCAACAGAGCAAAAACAGAATCAGCAACAACATAAGAGAGATCAGCCAAATAATTTTAACTAGTAGATTAGACAAAAGAAGTGATGGTGAAGACACCCATCCTATTAGAACCAGCAACAATATGTTTGATTTTTAATTTCAAAGGACTTTAATGAAATTAAAAATCAAGCATATTTACTAAATCCAATTTTAATAAAGCCCATGTCTCTTTTTTAACTTTCCCACCCTAATATCTCTTCAAATACAAACAAAAATGACACTGTAATTTAGGTAATAGAAGCATAAGCCCATCACCAAATCTATCATTCATAGATGCAGCATATCAGCAGTTGTAGTATTGTACTTTTTATTTTGTTATATTGATACACACACATAATTATATAAAAAGTTAGTTTATAACTTTTGAAATTTTTTTGATAATTCGATTGTCACAATTGTAGCCTTTTTTTTTTTTTAAGGTTCTACTTACTATAACCCCCATAAATCTCAATGACATAATATATAAAGATTAAATATTTTAAACTATATCATATTTTATAATTAAATTTTAGGTTAGATATTTAGATTAAATATTTTAAAGTATACCACATTTTTACATATCCAAACTATTTACTCTTTTTGGTTTTTTCTTTTTTAGTACTAGACCATCCAATATCCTGGGGTATCCTAGGTTCATTGCCTGCTCTAGATTACCATACTTAATTATCAAAATTTTAAGAGATAAACTGCCCATTTGTTTTAGCTTATTTTATAAAAAATCACTTTTTTGGAAAAAAAGTATTTTGTGATTTTAACAATTTTTGCTTAAATTTTTAAAAACAATTATAATATAAAAGTAAATTTTTTTATTATTTTAAGTAACTACTTCAAGAGAGAATGTTTTAAAATGTGGGATACAAGAAGATATACTAAGATTTTAAGATAATTAAATAATAAATTATTTTTAAAAAAGAATAAATAATTTAAAAATAACTAAATAATAATTATCCTTTATTATTGCAACCAAACATAAAATAATGTCTGCTTTTTATAAAATTTTACAGAATAATTATTTTATCAAATCCCTAAATTATCTAATAATGACTTATTTTTTAATCTTTAAGCAAATGGACCCAAAAATACAAAGAGTACATAATGTTAATATGTAAACAGAAAGTAAAATTTGGATGGATCCAACGTGTAATTCAAAGTTGGTTTATTCAATTTTGTTGCTTATCAATGACAGTCAATTTTGCTGTTATTGGCTATAAACATCATTAGAATTTTAATTAAGAGGAATAAGCGGGTAAGAAATCAAATTCTGATTGGGATTTATAGAATGATTAGAGTGGCAGCATGGCATATATTGGGCTTTATTTGAACAAAAATTAATCTTTGGTATAAAATACCAAAAGAACAAGTTCAAGCTATATCATACATGACCCGCCACTAAAATAAATCAAACATCTTACGAATGATCTTAAAATGTGTAATCAATTTATCCAGCTAATAGCTTTTCACTCGCAAGAATTTTTTAGATGGCATGAAAAAAAAAATTCTAAAGATAACCAAATTATTAAGCTATCTCCATCATTTTGAATTGGGGCTGAAATGAGAATCAAAGATAGACAAGAGATTTTTTTTAAAAATATATATATATAGATAAAACAAATTATGGTATATATTTGAATTTCCATTTTAAATTTTATTATATATATTTCTAAAAGTAATTTACTAATTTTATAATTTGAGAGGAATGTTATTAGATAATTGAGGGTGTATAATAATATAAAACTTACAAATATTTTGTTGGATGATTTGTAAGTACATCTATAAGTAACTTTTGAAGGAGGCCTGTCCTAGCGTTGGTGAGCCCCCAGACCCAACTCACCTAAGCTTTCTAAATGCAAATATAAAACTTAGAAATACAAATATATAAATATATTAACAACATATTAACTTGGGAAAATGACTATAAAATCCCATCGAAAATACAAAAAAAAATCAGGTCTGGCACAATGGCATAATTCCTTTGAAATCTCTAGGTACTTTTTTGGCATTAATGATTTGTTTACCTGTGAAAAATTTATAACTTTATATGATATAATTTTTGGTGGTGATGAAATCTATTTAGCTATTTAAAAAATAAAAGAAAAATAATTTACTCTTTTTATGGGTAAAATATGTTGCATATATCCAAAACACATTTTTTCCGTGTTATTGATTTTTTTTTTAAAGATGTACCTTTCCAACTTCTTGCCCTCCTCTACGGGTATTCAAATTATTAAAGTTAGCTCATTTTGTGTCGATGAAAACAGCTTTGAAAACGTTTGCTTCCTTGTTCAAATAAAATTCCCTTGAGAAAATTAATGTTTCATAATTCTGTAACTGTTATTTTTGAATGACATATTGTTGATAATAATTTTTTAAATTGGTTAAGATAAAAACAATCCAATGTTCTTTGTCATCCTCTTTTAGCTAGCTAGACAATTTGTCACTACAGATGATTTCTAGAATTTCTTTTGTAGTTACGTTAAAACCACGTAAAATTTTTTAAACAATTACTGCACAATATGTTGCTTATAATTTGCATGTGTTGTTAGACTTGTTAAAAAGATTCATCATATATGGACACTCGTAGGATTAATATGCCATCTTTTTTTGTGTCTCTATGACATACGTGCGAAATATTATTAATAGATACACCTGTGACCAATTCAAATTCAATATCTTTAAGCGTTAATTTTTTTTTTATTTTTGTAGATGATATACCAGAAGATATTGGACAATTGGATTGCTTCAAGTGCTAGGTCTTGAAAATAATAATTTACAAGGCTAACTTTTTCATCCAATTATGATATTCTGGCTACTATAGTTTTTTTCCTCTCTTTAGTTGTTTTCTTTGCATTACTATGAACAACCATGCATTTTCTTTTCCTACTTTATCTTTTTTTTTAATAAATTTGTGTATGTGTTAACTTTTAACAAACATATGTCAACTTGAGGCCTAAAGTACAATTTTTCCTAAATGAATTTACTGAACGTTTGTTGAAAGTTAACGATAGTCGTAAAATTGCCCCCACTTTTTTTTTTAGAGTTCAAAATGCATCTTTTTAAAGTTTAGGATTCAAATTGCCCCTGGACTATAGTTCAAAGTTCAAATTTCATATTAACCCTTAGTTTTATTATAACATTATATGTTATCATTATATATTGTCATTGTGAACAAAATTTGTTTATGTAAAATCATTTTGTATGAGATTAATTAGTTTGTTCACTTTCATTATATATATAGTGTAGGTACTAAAAAGATGTTCCCTTGCAAAAACTTGGAGGATTAGTTTTTTGTGACATTTTATTAGTAGCTAGAGGATCATGATACATGCAAATGCGTGAGATATCTCTACAATCATTTTTACCCACAGTTGTTTTTTATGTGATTTCCAAAATACTTTAGAACAAAACTAAAGTTCCACACACATGTATTAATGTGTGTTTGTGTGTGATGAATGTATATATGGAATTACATTTGACAACATCACTTAGAAGCCCTGTTTGAAGGATGATTCCTTGAATTTTATTTAAATAAAATGGTAATCATTTAAGGGACGATGCACAAACTCAAACAAATAAAAATCTTTAGTTCTGGTTGGTTCAAAAAGGACTTGAGTTGTTGTTGATTTTAATGGTGCTAGTTAAGGCATCCTCTCTTCCGGAGTATCTAAGTTCATTTATTTATTTTTTTTCAGATTATGATATTCTAAGTAGTTACTTCTTCTTTTAGATGATTTTCTTAGCATTACTAATTAAGAACAACATTGCATTTTATTTTTTATTTTCATCTTTTGTTCTATTATTACTTTGTGAATTCATAAAATTTCTTGTTTCAATAATTCTTTATGCATAAAAGTAAGTCTTTAGTTATTTTAATTTTATCAATGCTAGCTAGGACATGTCTTCTCATTTGGAAAGCTAATTTTTTGAAAGAATTGATATATGTTGATATCCAATGAAAATTTTCAGTTATTTCTATATTTTTTATTGTAAGCATCATTATAATTTTGAAACTTAACAATACTTCCAACAAGTCATAATGCATTCCTGTCATATTTTTCAATTTATTTTCTTTGCAATATCATAAACAACAAGTACATTGCTTTTCTTAGAATTTGTTTCTTTCATTTGGGACTTTTGAACCATAACGCAACAAGTATATATTCTTGAGGACTATCAATTTATCAAAGTTAAATACTTTGTGTCTAGCAAAATACATTATATTGATTGTGATTTGCCAAGATACTAAATTATAAATTATAGAATATTGTACTTTGAGTTTTTAAATCCTACTTATAATAGGTATGGAATATTAATAAATTTAGTCAAATATAAGCCAACATCCACCTATTTAACATACAATATACACTTATAAAAGAGGCTCAGCACAAGTGAAGTTACTACCAAATTTTTTTCTTCTTTTCACATGGGTTCGTTGTGCATCATCACAAACAATTCTGATGACTCTACTAATTAATTATCACACTATGAATTTATGATATGTTTGTGATGATTAAATGTTTTTAATTAAAATAATAAATATATTAATCATACATTCCTTGAGAATCTCTTGCACGATATATTAAAATGGAACTGCCTTTGCATTTATATTTTATATTTGTATTTATACAGCAATGAGTATTTATTTACAATACATCTCCATGTTTAATTCTCTACCTCATTTAGTTTTATTTTTCTTTTCTTCATCAAATAATATTGCAGGAGATATACCAAGAGAGATTGGCCATCTTCAAAATCTAAAGCTTCTATATTTGGGTGGAAATAATCTTTCTGGCCAAATACCATCAAATATCTTCAATATTTCAGAGTTACAAGTGATTGATTTAAGCTGGAATGATTTGTCCAAAGTATTCCCTCAAGTGTATGTCATGGACTTCCAAAATTACAAGGGCTATATCTTCAAGAAAATGCATTATCTGGAGCCCTGCCATCCAATTGGATACAATGCAAAGAGCTCAAAGACTTACATTTAGAATACAACTCTTTTACAGGTATTTGCTACCGGCGCACTATTTTAAATCACCAACTTTTATTTCTTTGTCAATATATTTTAATTTCACTTTAATGATTGCAATAATAGCATTAGTACTTTTTGTTTTGTTGCTATTTCGCAAGATGCATTCCTAAACAAATTGGTGATATCACAAGGCAGATTTTATTTTAGGTTTATCTCTTAATAAGATTTTGGCTCCATATCAAAAAGCTTAGAAACCTGACTATGCTTTAGTTATTTTAAATCTTCCCTGGCCACTTCACCAATGAATTTGTCTTTTGTACACAATCTTTACAAATGTCATAGTAGCAGTTTAAAAAACATAATATGACAATATGGTAAATTACAAATCTATAGAATATTCTACTTTCAGTATTTAAATCCTACTTATAATAGGTGAGATATTTGAGTGTTTTTTATAATTTTTGTATTTTTTTTAAATTTTTATGTTTTATTGGGGTTTTCATATAACCTAAAATATAGAAGATATTGCTCCATCTTATACAATTGTTTATTCTTTCATATTTCTATATATATTTTATCGAGCTTTCTAAACTTTTTCTAATCCTGTAATGTTTTCTCGTATCTTTAGTAAAGTTCAATACAAAACAAGCACAATTGTTTTTTTTTTCCTTCTATTTTTATAAAATTTTTATCCATCTCCATAATTTCCGACCAACATTATTTTGAAGAAAACATGATAATTGTGAGGGACTCTTGTGGACCTTCAACGTTCAATCTTAAATATTTTTGAAGCCATGCGAAGCTCAATAAAATGTATTTTAAAAGATTAAAGAATATGTTTATATATATATAACCCAAAAGCCATAGTTTTCTCTTAGTTAGCTTATTACGCGCTGAAAAAATAAGTATAACATTTTAAAAATTTATTTTACTATTCAAGTTATGTAAAGAAATATATTCTATTTAGTTATATTATTTTTTCTGGCTGCATATAACTTGTGATGTTAAGAGTGTGGAATGTTTTCAGCAACAATAATAATAATAATAATAATAATAATAGAGAGAGTGTGTAATGCTGGAAAGGAAAGTTGTGTGCAAATGACACGGTAGGGGATCCTCTTTCACGTATCGTGCATTATACTTTGACAATTTAGACCGTAATCAACAAATTATAATAATTACAAATTTTTCCTTTTCACTTTTTTTTTTTGGTGAATAATAACAAACACCATAATTTTTGTTAGCACTTTCCATGAAATATTTCATATGAAGCAGAGGATTTTTTAAATAAAAAATTGTATATATAGTGGATCTACATACTAAAGACAAGACATGCTGCAATTTTATATTCAAATTTTCTATGCTTTAATTTCTTAAAAACTTAATTTAATTAACTATATATTCAAAAGTGTATGTCTTTAAGTGTGCATCTTCTTTCATATACCAAGATGCATTGAAAATTTGACTATGCTTGAATACTTATATCTTAATTAGTGCCAATAAATTATGATGTGCTAACTTCTGCGTATGCACGCATTACTTTTTATATGCTTTTTTATGCAATTGCTCTGAGTAACAATGAATTTGTTTTTTAAAAAACTTCAAAAATGTTCATCATAAATTTTTATTTAAATAAAAAATTACTGTTAAAAATTTGCAGATCTATTCAACAACTTAAAAAAAATACCAGAATATAATTTTTGTTTGAATGAATTACATAAAGAGTTTTATGTATTCCTTAAAACAGAAAAAAGAAACAATACTCAAATTTTGAAAACTTTACTTCTTTTTTTTTTTTTAAGCTGTCTGCTAGCATCACCTCAACTACAAATAAAAAGGGCACACCTATATGTATCACAAAACTAACAGAGGATTCAGATGTAATGTTTTCACACATCAACGCACATAATAATTTTCTGAAAAAAATAATGAGTTGCTTTCAACAACTCATTATACGTTACTGTCATTTTTTAAATGGTTTTCGTTGCATAATTAGAAACAACTGCAATGCTTTTCTTATATCTTGTTTCATTCATTTAGGATTTTTGAACCATAATGTTAATAATCATAAAGAAATTAGTCTTAATTGAGATTTCAAAATTATGAGCTCTTAGACAGTAAGCTCACGAATACTGCCAATAAATCTGAATATGCTCCAAGACTTAGACCTCAGTGTAAATAATTTACAAGGTACATCTTTAGCAAAACATAGTATAATATTTTCATTTTGTTCATTGAATAATATTGAAATTCCTTCATCTAAAATTGAATGTAATTTCACAAAAAAAAAAACAAGAAGAAGAAGAATGTGTCATAGACGTCTAAATTTTCAAATGCTGTATCTTCAAAAGAATAATTAATTATCTAGAGCTCTGCCATACAATGCAAAGAGCTCAAAAGCTTACAGTTAGAATACAGCTAATTCTTTACAATGTGTGTGCTACTAGAGAAGTTATTGATTCAGCATAAAGAATTTGTTTCACAAACATTTTGTGAAACTCAACTTTTTGTTTTGAGTAAATTTATACCCATTTTTCTACTAAAATGATTTCTTTTAAAACGTCATCTTGTAATATTGTTTTTTTAAGTGTTGTCATGCTCAAGTATTATATGTCTAAAAGTTAAATTCTCTGATGCTAATATCTACACAAGCAATATAATTGCAAATGCAAATTTCTAATTAGATTATGTAACCACTTCTTACCGCCACTACACAAATGTAATATGTGTTCCTTTATGTGTGCAGTTTTGAGTTCCTTATTCTTTTTTTTTTATTATTGTTATTGGTTAATATAACTGATACTTCATAGAATGTTGGCAATCTTAGATGATTCCCAGCCTTTAATTTCTTAACTAATATAGACCACATATATGGAGGCATGTATTTATCTTTGCCACCACATTTTTTTGTTTGCGTACTTAATAGCTTAAAGTCACCTCTGCATCAGCACATAAAAATATACAAATCAGGAAGGAAAGCTTTCCAAGACCAGTCCCAAAAACCAGCATATTTGACCATGCAAATGGGCTCCAAAAATCATGAAAATTTTAGACATCAAACCAACATGGAGAGTAATACAGATACAAAAATTCAACTCAGGATCCCCTAAGTACAAATAGAAAAAGAAAATCAACAAAGTGAGCTCTTAGGAAGACAGAATGCTTCACAACCAGCTCTTAAAAGTCAGAATACTTAACTAGGCAAATAAGATATAAAAAAAATCCTCAAAGTTGTCTGCCAAACAAGATCTTACCAGGAAAAAAGTTATCATTTATGAAACAAGCTAGTATCATGAATTTAGATTCCCTTTCTGTACATTACAGACCCCAAGTTGCAGCAAAGACGAACATCAAGATAGCAATCATAATAACACAAATTGTTCAACATTATATATATGACACTCGATGGTTTGGTAAACAAAATGCACAAAGAGCAATAAGACATATAAACATGTAATTCTCAACATATGAAGTAACGATCACATATGAATTTTTCACACCAAAAGTAGAAGAAATCAATTTTGACCGCCAAAAAAATCAAGAGGAGTTTGATAAAAAAATAGGAACAAATTAACTTGTAAGGAGTCAAATTGAAGACTTGCTCGGTCAGCACCTTCTCTGTTTCTTCAGCACGTATCTTTGATATTTCCTCTTCTTGCAAAATTTCCCATCTAATCAGCAAAGCAAAGCGCAAAGTTGCTTTCTGAGGCTTGCGTGGGAGATGGATTAATCAGAACAGAGTAGCGGCGGGGTTGCCGTGTTCCTCTTCCTTATCTCTCTGCTACGCTCTCATACTGACAGAGGGCTAGCCATTTTGTCTATTCCAGGATGTTAATTTTTCTTTTTTCTTTTTTGGTAAAATTTTATTGTTAATTTTCTTTCAGGCCATATACTAGAAGGCATTGGAAAGTAGGCTATACTTCAAAATTTACATCTTGATCATAATAATTTACAAGACATTTTTTTTTCCAATTTATGATATGCTAGCTTTATATTTTTTTTTTTAGTTTTTTATCATTATTACTATGAAAAATAAGCATCTTCTCTTCCTATTTTTTCTTTTGTTTATAAATTTGTGTATGTGTGAAATTTTCTTCTTCTATAATCCTTTATGCATAAAAATAAGTATTTAGTTATTTTTAATTTTAGGGATACTAGTTAGGATGTCATGTGGATCAGCATTTGGTTAGTTTGGAACAAAGAAAACTCCAGTTGGAGTGAGGAAAAAAAGATATGCCACCAAAATTTGTTCTCTAATCTCATGAATAACAATGCTTTTCTGGTGAAAATACAGTTTATTATATTAGAGTTGAAATGTACTTTATGAGTGACAATATTAATATCAATATTAAAATTTGAAGTCTCCATCTCACTTGTTCCATTTAAATTGTAAAAAAAATAAAAAAAATATAGAACTTCAATCCCTATAGTTTAACAAAATTCAACTTTTAATACGACATTAAATGTAAGTTTATGAACAATATGTACTTTATTGTTCATTTTTCACATTTTTTGGTTATAAGTTTATGTATTCATGAAATTTCTTGTTTCAATAATTATTTATATGCATAAAAATAAGTCTTTTGTTATTTTCTATTGTAGTGATGCTGCACAGATTGATTAGTGGGGCCATGTGGTATATATTGGGCTTTATCTGAACAAAACATATGACGTATATAAATTAATCAAACATTTGTCAAGGGTTTTTAAGGCTTTTTTTTTTTTTGCCATGAGTTAAATTATTTACTATCCATCTCTCTATAGTCGTTATAATTCTGCATAATTTTAGGATTTGTATTACCCTACAAGTGTAATCAATCTATCCAACCAACAACTTTTTAGCCGCAAGAATTTTATGAATGTCATGAAAAAAATATTATTAAAAGATAACTATATTTTTCAGGTTCTCAGGGATGAAGTTAGAATTAATCAAAGGTGGGTGGGAGTTTTTTTAATTACACACACTCACAGACAAACTATTGTATTTCAATTTTCAATTTTCAATTTTTATTATTG